CAGCGCGTTCTAAACACATTAATAAACTTAATATACAAAGCACATCATATCAAAAACAACGCGTATATCGTAGATCTTTAAATATGTATGCATTTTTTTTTCTTAAAGGAAGGATCATGTTCTCAATCTAAAATAAAGCTAGCGCTCTTCTCGGCGCTTCTCAAAGATGTTACTTATAGTAACAGCTTAGAGCAGACATTGTAGCCTATTTTGGTAGATAAGAATACAATACTTCTGTGCAATTAATAAGCTATTCAAGCTGTTGGGTTCCAAAAAATTCGTTCGCATATCGCATAGTTCAATTTAATTTGCTTACTTTGTCCTAATTTGGTCATTTACATTAAATTTACTAAAAACAAAATTTACCTTAATATTAAGCATTGTATATTTACTAAAAGAAAATGAAGTCTCTTATCGATGATCGTTCCTTAAACTTAAATCATAAGATTAACATGAATACTTACTTATAATGGCTACATACACTTAGTCCTAAACATAAAGTATTTTTATTATGAGAGCATTCTTATAGAATGTTTATTATTTATAGAAAATAACTAAAATCAACTTACTAACTTATTAATTAATTAATCTATGCTAGTTAATGACAAGGCTAGACAAAGTAGTGAAAGAAGCTTACAACACTTATACAACAACAAAAACAACAAGAACAACAACAACCAAAAACACATGAGTCCAAGTTTAGAACTTAATAATCAAAAATATATTTAGATACACTTTTCTGCAGGTATTTAACTAAAAGAAATTATACTAAAAATGACAGTACGATAAATGATAAACGATTAACGATAGAACTAGAGCAAAGCACATTAAAATGACCCCACCATAACCATGGACTACTAAATTTCATACACTAGTTTTTTACACACAAAACCAAACAACTAATACAACAACAGCAACAACAACCCAGTTAGAGACACACATACATAGTTAAACGGGCCCAATTAGAAGGGAGGGTGCATATCTTTTTCGCTAGGCCTAGAACATTTTGCCTTGATAGCATTTGGGTTTGTTTAAATCAAAACACGAATAACTTATAGGATACAGGGTAAAACATGCAATTAACAATTATAATAATAATGATAATAATAATAATATTAATAATAATAATAATAATAATAATAATTATAAAACATAATTTAAAATAATTATTTCTAATATATTATATTATTATCTTTTGTTACATTTCCCTCAAGCTTTTGCACTAAGTACGTTTCTTTTTAGTTTTAGCTTGACAACATTAAAGCTTTGCATACACGTAGAATTTGCATAAATATATATATACATATATATATATATATAGGTCTTTAGAGCAACAAATGGGCATAGTCGGGACAGGAGTGCAGTAGTAGGAAAGTATATATTTAAATATATATATGTATATACACGGATACATATACATAGGTATATGTATAGGAACAGGAGAGCAACAAAGCAAGTTGATAAAAAACAAACAGCAACAATAATTGGCGGCGCTTGTAGGAAAGCTCAGAAAGTGCATTTAATAAATATGAATAAATATTATTGAAAACGAAAACCAAACAAAAACTTTTTAAGCAAACAAAACATTAAAAAGTAAAGAAATCTTGTCATATTTATATAGGCGATGAATTATATATATATATATTATATTATGATATATATGTATATATATATATAAATATATTATGACAATTATTATTATTACTATTAACCAAAGCAAAGATTTATTAGCGAGCTAAGGTCAACAAGCATTATAAGCCAATTTTGCAATTATACAAGTGAATGAGGTGTGGAAATGCAACTGAAGAGAATGCCATGAAACGAAATGAAATTGAAATGAAATGTAAAGGCCCCAAGTTATTTTTTGTAGATAAAATGTTATCTTTTAGAACTTAGCCAAATATTAGATACTGATACAGATGCAAGAGGCAGGTGCTAAATGCACAGTTGAGAGCAGGCTAAGTGTAATAAAACAAAAGGTCAAAGCGAATTTATATTGTATATAGGTAAACACAAAGCCCAATGATACTTACCTAAAAGGGTTTAATAATATTACAAATTATAAATTATTTAATGATAGTTGCTAGTCTAGAATTTAGCCTGCACACACACTCACACACAACCCACACCTTTGAATTGCCATCTTAAAGTGCAGTCTCAGTTGCGTTCGATAACTATATCCGCATGAAGCAGCTTATTCTTGAACACAATATTTTATTTCTGTTTAGAAATCCGTCCGTAATTAGCAGTATGCACTATCGCACACACACACACACACACACATAGACATACACTACCTAAGCAAATTGAATAACTTGAATTTAAAAAGTCAAACTCAAACTCTTATTTACAAAGAAGAATGTGTATTTTGAGGATTGTTGGATAATTAAATATGAAACCGACATACTGGTTCCTCTTTCCATCCTCAATGCTACATATACTTTTTTTTAATTTAACATGGATATTGTGCAATTAAGACACACAAGATGCAACAAATTATATTTAAATAAAATTGAATAACAGCAGTTAGGGTATTATTTGACATTTTTGAAGAGCACCTTTAACGAAAACAATAAGAAAATTAGCAGCAAAAAGAACTTAACAATAAAAGCAGTTAAATGCCATATATAAATAAGAAAAGAACCTACCCAAACTTGCACATAACATTTGTAGCAAAATGTAAATTTGACAAATTGAATTTGACAATTTCATTCTTTCAAAAAAGTCTGCAGTGAAATTAAAGAAAGCTTGCCCCCATAACAAAATGAAATGATTCTTATGCTTTCAACATGCTCTAAAATAAACAAAAACCTATAAATTAACACAACAAAAATTAAATATTAAATGTAAAATGGTTTCAAAATCAAAGTAAAACACACAAAAAAACAAAAAACAAACAAACTAACAAGTGACATTAAAAAAGAGTATAGTTAAAAGAAAAGAATACATTTCCAAAACATTTGCATCAAAGTTCAAATATTTTAAAGTTGTTTACACAATTCAGTGCAAGCTTTTTAAATATGTACTTACGTATTTTTAGAGCACAATCTTTTTAGGCATTTGCTAGCAATATTTAATAATACTCAATTATTGGAATATGTTTTCAAATCGGCCAAAGCGACAATTCAAAATTGATGTGCTCTGAAAAGTTCTTAAGTTTGATATGGGAAAAATCAACTTAATTCAAGATTCTTAGAGCACAGCTACATGAAATGCACCAGGTATCCAATCTGTATTCACAAATACATACGTATATTTCTAACGACAATTTTTGAGACACATCCATTACCAGTTGAAACTAACTTAATATGCACACAGCTACATACATAATATACACATATACATGCATACATACAAGTACTTACTTATATTACAAAATTTATATTTATACATACATACATACTACATGCATACATATAAAGCGCAGATGAAAAAAAAGTAACTAATAGGCAATGTAGATGAAAAGAATGAAAAGAAATACTTACGAGTATATAGAGAAAACTAAAAGGAAACACAAGTATTGAACAATTAAATAAAATAATTTAAAATAGCAAAGAAAAGGTCTTTATATATATATATATATATATATATATATATATATATATACTACATATATACTATACATATGTGTATATTAAATACAATTTATAAATAATAACAACTCAATGGCGAAGTGTGTAAAATTTGTGCATTCGTTCATGAAAACAAAAGGATGAAAGTAAACACCGAAAAACATTACAAATATATCTATATATACTTCATATATATATATATATATATATATATATGTATATATGTATATATATATATATATATATATATATGTTTATATTTACATTCAATTTAATTTTTCGCCCAAGGTCGCGAAAAATTGTTGAATCCACACATTAAAAGCTATCAAATGAACTATTAATTAATTATGAAAGCAAGCAAATTAAAACAAACAAACTATGCAAATATTTTAATACTTAACAGACGTAAAAATGCATTACCAAATCTAGTTTAACATTAAACATTATTTATGACATACAAAAACATACATAAATAAACCCAACATATTTATAAGTAACTATATTACAAACAAAAACAATAACAAATAGTAGAGCCAGCAAAAGAACTAACTACATATAAACATAATTTGCGCCTTTTTATCAAATTGTTGTTTTTTATACCCATTTTCCTTTCTTAACAATGATAACACAGTCTACGAACGACAAGCAACAGCAGTTAGGCCAACCGCGCGGCAAAAGCTAACAATAACATCATTAAAAAAAAAAAATAAAAATATATATATATATAAATAATATAATATAAATATCAAGAAAGTCTAGGCTAAATTTTGACAGTTTTAAAATGGCGAACATGTAAACTTTGTTTCGTTGGCCAAACTGGGCGTCGTATATGGACGGCATATGAGAAATATTATGGTACAGGACGAACAGAAAATTGAGAATGGAGCAAAGCAAAAGAGAAATTATAAATGAACAAGTAAACGAGTTATAATTACAACAAATAAATTATTATTAATAAATAATTATTATACATGACAACTTATGCAAATGTAATAAGTAAAAAAAGAGAAATTAAAAAACAAAAAAACTGGCAAGTTTAAACAAAAAAAATTGAGAAAAAAAATAAAACAAATGGTAAAATTACAAAAATGCAGAAAAATATATATTATATATACTTTATAGACATTTAAACATGAAAACAAAAGGCAAAGAACAAACTAAAAAATAAAGTTACAAATAATAAACTTTTACCATAAAAATAAAAATGTTATTTTTCAATAACTTAAATGGATTTCAGATTTGACATTAAACACAAAATGCAACCTTCATTAACATATCTGGCAGCTTGGTCGATGTTTCCTAGACACAACTGGCAATGGTAAGTAAAATGCGCACATCTGGCAGCACCGTATTTGCGGTTGCCTGGTTGCGCTACGCCGTGTAGCAAGTTATTTAGCTTTCGTAAATAAGAGGCAAGTTTAGTTCGTAATGACTGACCAACTGGACCAACTGGCCACCGCAGAGCTGCAGCGTCTGCAGCGCCAGCACCGTGCCCTGCAGCTGGACCTGCGTGGGCTGCTAGAGGAGAAAACAAAACGTCTGAAAAAGCAAAATCACATGATTAACGTTCTGCAGGTGGAATATGACAAACTTAAGGATGAAATGAAAACCCTGGAGGGCGGCACTCATGCACGTAAAAATACCAACAAGGAGAAACTCTTGGCAACCCTGCAAAATCAACAGTCCGAACTGCAACGGGTGTACCAAGGCGAACGCACCAATTTGTGGGAGTTAGAGGGACACATTCGGAAAATGGAAAAAGAAATAGATGCATTGCGTCGCAACGAAGTGCCCGACAATTGCTACAAGGAGACCATTTGTAAGGTGCAAAAGAGCGTAGTCAAACTAGAGAATCGCCTCGACGTGGTCAACAAAAAGTGTTCCGATGTTCTAACCGAGAACGGCAAAATGCGTGACGCCATAAACCATATGCTTCAAGATCGGTAAGTGCGTCTTAAAAAATAGCGTTTCTTCTTAAACATCACCCCGCACGGAGATTGGTCGTCTGTACAACGCCTGGTGTAAAACTTTTTTCATCCTTAGCATTCAAAAAAGCACATTCTAAATTCTTGACCATAAATGCAAAAAATTAAGGGGTTACATCACGTTTTTTGCCAAAAACAGATTCTGTTCGAAAATCAAAGCTTTTTCGACAATTTTTTTTTAATATCTCGGGTAAATACCGTCTGATTTTGGTATGTTATACCGTTTGAACTTCGTGGGGATCCCTATTATAATTGAAAGTTAATTACACCATCAATCGAAGGAAAGTATAAACAATTCTGCCAAAAATCCGTTCGGTTTAGATGTTAAACTATTCTCATGATTTTGCGGGACATCTCTGCAAATATTATTTTGCAACCGATCTCGGAATGATATACCATTATGGACTCGAACGGATAAGTACTATCGATTAGCATTCAAAAAATCGAATTCTAAATTTTTTCCCAAATAGTTTATCCTTGGTAATTCCATATCATAGATATAGTCCTAGTGAACCTAAAAAATCGAGTTCTCGCAAAATAAGCAAAAATATGATCAAAAAATATCCTTTTTTGTACAGCAGCCATCCCCCTGGGTGGTTTCTAGTTGACTAATATATCCTTGATAATTCCAAATCATGGATATAGTCCTTGCGAACCTAAACGACCGAATTCTCGCAAGATACGCAAGAACATGGTCCAAAAATATGTATGCGTTTCTTTAACAGCAGCCCCCTGGATGGTTCCTAGTTGACTAGCATATCCTTGATTACACCATATCATCGATATAGTCCTTGGGTACCTAAAGGATCAGATCCCTGCAAAATGTGCATTAAAATGGTCCAAAAACATGTATGATTTTTCTTTTAGGAGCCCTTTTAAATTAGCTGCAGCTGCAGCTGTTGTTTAGCAGCCGCCTTACAGCACTCATTTTACATAGACTGCTAATTAACAGCACTCATTTTAATTGAGTTACATTTTTGCCCCTTAATGCTATGCAATGAAAATTTTCATTCAAACCACTCGTCGACCTTCTGGGAAGCTAAAAATATTTGATGTCGACCTTCTGGGCATTTCTGTTCGCCTGGTATTTTGGCAGATTTTAAGAAAAATCTCGGCAGCCAGCGGTTGCCAACGGAGATATGACGTTCCAAAACGACATAACTCCAGCGCCAGCGGTTGCCGATGGAGATATGACGTTCCAAAACGACATAACTCCAGCGCCAGCGGTTGCCGATGGAGATATGACGTTCCAAAACGACATAACTCCAGCGCCAGCGGTTGCCGATGATATGACGTTCCAAAACGACAGAGCTCCAGCGCCAGCGGTATGCAATGGATTTCTAAAAACCGTTGATTTTTGAATTTTTAAATAAAAAAACAGGAATTTCGCTTTTATTTTAAATTTATTTATGTTTCAATTTATAAAATTGCTGTTTTTTATGCTTACAAAACGAGCATAATTTATAATTTTAGCTTATTTAAACTTAAATTAACTAAATCTGGCCTTAATTAAGTCCGATCCTTAAAAAATCTGCTTTGTCACTCGTGGAGGTCCTTAGAGGTCCTTATAGTCCTTAATCTGGCGGTCTGAAATGATAAAAACACATTTAAATTAAATATATAGATAATTCTATAAAATCGGAAAATTGGCCATAACTCGGGCATGTCCTTGCAGATTTTCAAAGGACATGGTGCGTTAGGATCGCATAGACCCCATGCATCGATCTGCATCAAAAAAATATGGGGTCATCTAAGAACCCCAGGACTTGTATTTTTACTTGTGAAATTTTCATCCCGGAGCGCACGGAAATGGCCCGAAAACACAAATCCTTGAATATCTTCAAAACTAGCAGGACGATCATAATGAATTTTGGCCAGTTGGTAGTCCTGGTTAATACAATTTATTTGCCGCAGGACTTGTCAGGATACGCCAGGATATGGCCAAGCTATGGCCTATTTTCTCTTGCAAAAATTGTCCTAAAAACTTCGCCATTTGAAGGACTTTCGTCCTTTTTGTTATATTTTCTTAAATGGGAGGTCGAGCACTATCTACTGTCCAAAGGACATCCCGATAGTCCTTCAAATGGCCAAGTTAGTCCCGAATTTTTCGATTTTTGCCACTTTTGCGACTAACCCCTAGGAAAATTTTCGGCAAAATTTTTTGTCGAATCTTGGAAATCCTTGAATGCCAATCGATAGTCCTGCTCTCCACGAGTTCAACACGGTATATCCTTCCGATATCCTTAAGGATTTAGCCGAGCTATGGCTAATTAAAAAATGTCCTTTTTAGAAAATTGGCCATATCTCTGAAACGCAAGGACGATTTTGTTGTCCTTTGGACAGTTTAATGTCCTTGTTCATACGATTTGTTTGACACAGGACTTGTCAGGATCCGTAAGGATACGGCCGAGTGCTGGCTTTGATAATTTACGACAGAATTGTACTTATATCTAGGCTGTCTGAAGGACTTTCGTCCTTTTTATTAAACATACTGAATTGGGACGATAAGGACTCACTGTTGGCAAATGGATATCATGATCGGTAAGGATACGGTAAGGATACGGCCGATCTACACCCTTTGATCTTTGCAGGCAAAAATTACATATTCTAAATTGGCAGGGCGAGGACATGTTATCCAAAGGTCATCAGAGTGGTCCTGAAGGTGACCAATTTAATGTCCTTTAAAAAGAAAAGATAAGGACGATTTTGATATCTTTTGAGCAGATTACAGTCCCTGTCCATACGAGTTGATTGACACAGGACTCGCCAGGACATCACAAAAAACGTGATGTAACCCCTTGCTATTTTGTTGAATTTTGTCAAAAATTTCGAATTTGAATTTAATGCTAATCGACAGTACTAATCCTTACAGGTTCTGAATGGTATAACATTCCAAAATATGACATTAATTGGCTGAGACACTCCAAAAAATGGTTGACTTCACAAAGGAATCCTATTTTGAACATTTGGCGTAAATAACGTCTGATTTTGAAATGTTACGCCTTTTTCAATTGCTATCGATTGACAATCAATCATATTGACAATCTTGAGGTTACATCAACATTTTGGAGAATGCCTAACAACTTTTACCAAATATAGGGTAGGCTCTAATATCGAAACTTTTGTAATACCTGTCTTGCATATATTACATTCGTTATTTAAACAGCGCAAACTTTAACGACATGTGGCAATCGATGGTTACACAATTCAACGACGGAAAAAAGCTCATCATGGATTTAATTGATCAGTCAACAATGGCCTTTGATCAACGCCAAGAGCTGTGCACGAAGTTATCAGTGCTGAAGGACCGCAACGAGAATGATAAGGTGATGCATATACAGGAAATGCGAGAAATGCAGCGTCGCTTGGAGCACGATGCCAAATTGCAAAAGTTCTTCGACATCAAGGGTCAGAAACGCGTCAATCCCGAACTGGAACAACGTGAGCTGGACAAGAAACAGAATCAAAAGGACAACTATGAACGCCAGCTATTTGAATATAAAGAGATAATTGAAAGAATTAAACAGCTTTATGGTGAAGATGACACGGAACGACTGGTGGCACAATTCAAGCGCCAGGAAGATGAAAACTTTGCGCTCTTCAGCTACGTGAATGAGTTGAGTCACGAAGTGGAGGTACTTAATGATACCACACAGGATTTAACCGATCAGATTGGTAAGTCGATGCATTATTGTCATAACTGTATAATGGCTAATGATTATAATATTGCTGCGTTCCCAGAGCGCCAAAAATCGGAGCAAACAGAAAAGGAACTGAAGCTCAAAACAGAGGCCTTGGATTATTTAAATGACGAACTGGTGCGTATTGAGCAACTGGCCAAAGAGACCAGCGAAAAGAAACAAAATCTGAGCACGCGATTGCAGCAGCTACTCAAGGGTATTGAGGACATATTCAAGTAAGATTACATAAGTCCACGTAGGGTACTACAAATTGAAGGTTTCTTAAAACATACAGATTACTGGCCTGCGATGATGCACCCATACTAAATGTGCTCAGCTCCAGAACCTTCCTGACTGTCCATAATGTGAAGCTATTCGTTGGGGTCATTGAGCGTCGTGTGAATATAATTATCAGTACGATTAACATTGAGGATAACTCCAACAGGATATTGGCAAGAAAGGACCGTGTGCCCAAATTTAATATACGGGAATCGGCTAAAATGAAGCATTAGCTGAAATACAGAAAAGGAAAATACCATTAACTATTTATTTAATTAACTTGAAAATAATGCACATAATATAGCAATCTGAACAATTGTGACTAACTTCATGTTTAAGATTATTGCATTGGACGTTAACTTATTAAGTTCAAATTGAGTGTATAAAATAATAAATTACAACAACTTTTATACAAATAAAATATATAAACATAAAGCTTTGGAGTGCAATGTCCATTAGTCAAACACTGCACAAAATTTTTTGCAATTAATAATATAATAAAGGTCAACAGTTCTAAAAATACACTTAAAGTAATACTACGAAATATTCTTTCAATAGTTTTAACAGGCTTCGTTTTAAACATCAACAAAAAATATAGAGATATATATGTATGTATTTATATGGACTACAGTTAAAAGTGGCCAGTGGCCAATTGGATTCCACAAGCGCGTCTACCAGCTTCTTCTCACGTATGATACGGTTCCGATGTAGCAGCGTCGCTGGACATGGATGGTGGCACGGGCGTCATCACATCGCGGCTCTCGCCATTGAGCAAATACACAGGTACATTACTGGAGGCCACTTCGATCTCATGTGCGGCAATAACACTGCTCGGTTCCGCCTCTCGACTGAGCGTGCACTCTTGCGTTGTCATTGCGTTCATCACTGCATCCTCTTCGCTGCAGGACTCGCCATTTGTTGCCAATGTTACATAGGCGGCAATGCAGTCCGGTTCTGGCGACGCGCAAACGGCGAAATCAACAGGAGCTGCAGGAGCAACAGAGTCCGTGGCAGGAGCAATAGCAGAAGTGGGAGTTGGTGGAGCAGTCCAAATTGCAATATTTTGCTGGGCCAGCTTTTTCTTAACATTCTTAATCCGGCTCCAGCCATGTTGCTTTCGTCGTCGGCGTCGTTTGGTCAACTTTAGGTCCTTGGGCCGAGCCAATTCCTCCTACGCATACAGAATAGGTGTGTGTGTTATGAGCATGTTATACGTAAAGGAACAAGGCATGCATCACTAGCTTGCCGGACAGGCTATCAACATCCCCCGCGGGGTCGGTTATTTCCTATCACTATTGCTATAACATTCTATGGCCTATTTCAAATTTCTATAAGTTTTTCATTCAATTTTCCCCCTTTTTTGCTAACTTATTATATTCTAACATAATAAGTTACTTAAGATTATTTTTATTTGTATGTAATACATTTTCTTCACTTCTAATAGTTTTCATCTAATCTGTAGACTCTAAATCACGTCTCTGACAAATTTAGCGGTGAAACAAGGTTAGTTGGCCGAACGGTTGAATAATATACCTCCATCGTGTCGGTGATGATATTATCGGATATTTGTATACTAATTAGGTTTAAGTTCTTAATTTTGCTATTCTTTTGTATTAATTATTTAGGTTGACACTCGTTTTGTCAACTATTAATAAATAAAATAATAAATATTAATAAATAAATAAACATTACCGAGTCTTCAACGTGGATGCGCTTCAGTCTTACAACAGGCATTGGCATCGTTGTCTTCTTTGCATGCACCTGCGCCGCAAAGCTTTTAATGATTGCCACCTCATTCTCTAGCCTCTCGATATCCTTGCGTAGTTCGATATTCGATGCATGCAATCGCTTTCTGAGTTTTGCATCTAAGTCTGACTGTGACTTTATAACACTGGATCCTCGCTTCTCGTCTAGTTTCCGGCGTTGAAGCTGGAGCAGACTATTGTAGAAATCGACATGCTCCGTGGACGTATCAGCAAACTTGCGCCGGTTAAATTTATATTTTCTGGCCAATGCCTGCACCCGATCAACGTCTATAGAGTTATGTGCGCTATCAGTCGATCTTCGACGATGGCATGTCTCAACCGAGCTGTGCGTGGAGGCGGGTGGTGTGGGCAGGGAACGTTGTGGGCCGCGAGGCTGCTGCCTCTTCGGTTGTGGTGTCGGTGTGCCACTAGAAGCATTGCTTGTCGTGGGCGTAAGCTGACTTGTGGGCGTGGGCGTGTTCGCGATAGCGGCTGACGGACGTGCCTGCTTAACCTGCCGCCCACGTCGATTGCAGGAAGACAACGATTGAGTAGTCTTTTTATCACAGATTTTCTTAGATTCCAATTTGCTAAACATGCGCTGGCCGGCGAGTAAATGTTCTAAATATTGAGATAAAGCTTTTAGTTCGATATATATATTTAAAGATATCAACATGCACTTACCTTTTCGTCCCATCCACTTGAGAGATTCAATAAAGTCCATGGACGAGCTTGGTGTCAGCGACGAGAGTGATGTGTTATTTAACTTTTTATAATTTTTAATTGATGGCTTAATGGTGTTAAAGGATTTGCTAAACTGGGATCTGTTGGAGGCGCCCAAATGCTGTACACTGAAAGTGACTTGCTTTTTGTGCAGCGACGCCTCGCTGCTATGGCTATTACGACTAGATGATTGATGACAGTAGTGATTGTCATTGGGTTCAGCTATATTACTGACATTGATGCTTATTCTGCGGGGAAATAAGGCTTTGTAGTGCAGTTTGGGGGTTGAAGTGCTGGCGGAGAGCTCCTTATCGGAGTCGGAGTAAAGCATGCAACTAGATATGGCATCATCATTCAAGTCCAGCTCCTGCAGCTGTTCCTCTTGTTCTAAATGTTGTTGTGCTTCTGCCTCCTGCTCGGCCGTTTGCACGCACTGATCGACAAGATGTGGCGGCGTTTGTGTTGTAGACACAAGATGCAGACTATCCCGACGGCAGCTGTAGCTGTTGACGATACGCGGCATTGTGTAGGTCGCAGCAGGCGTAGACGCGGTTGCGCCGCTGCTTGTGGCGCGCTGATACGTTCGCAAATTAATGGGATATATGCGCGTTATGGGCACATAATCATCTTCCCCAATTCCCGCCGCCTCGTTCGAATTGGAGCCATTGCCATCCACATTAGCGGGCACGCTAAAGTCTAGTGAGAACATTTCGTCGTCATCATCCGATTCACAGAGATCCACAACTTCGCACGTGGGATCAATGCCGCGATACAAGGCCGTAGCGCGCTTCACTGGCTCCAAGTAGCTGGCATTGCGGCAAAGGCGCTTTAGAAAGTCAGGCAGATCTGGAGCTGGCGGTGGTGGAAGCTGTGTTGCCGTTGACGCTGACAGCAACACACCGACCAACCCTAAACTGGATTCAGAGGCTGTATCCTCCTCATCGGAGTCAAGTATCTGTTGTGAAAGAAAGTGTATCAATAAATTGCCTGGCGATGCATTGGACTTTTAACATTAATGTGCTTGTACTCAGATAAATGTTGAAGTCATTTTATGGGCAGCAGAGGCACGCCCGCCTTCACCTGGCACGCGACTAACTGCGTGGGGAAGGATAACGTGCACACTCAGCCCAACTCAGACCTTTTACTAAGACATCATGGTGGTCAAAGAATCACACATTTGACTTCTGATAAACAACTTACTAAATCTGTTGGTTGCAGCGTTCGATTGTCCATCTTGCTGGCAGCATGCAATCCTCTGCAGCACTTTTGAAGGCTCAGATGTTCCAAAATGCAACGTGTGGCCGTGCTGGGTGATCTGTATTTAGGCAAATGCTCTATGTAGGCGGGGTTGTAAGGTAGCGTGCATGCGGGTCGCATAAATTTGATCGCAAACTCAAAAATGCGCTGCTTGGTCGACTCATCGCGCTCCAGCCTTTGCCAGTAATAAAATATGATAATATATTCGATGTATATTTTATCGGGCAACTCCGCCTGACTAAACAGGCCCGATGTTGAGGACCATTGCGGAAAGAGCCGTCTGAAAAGGAGTCAGCATATTATAATATATAATATGCAATAATCTTATTGTCTTAGCATATAAAGCCAACCTGTAGAAAACTGTGATGATGTTCGCCTGGCCATACAGCTTTGGTATGGCGATAAGCGTGAGCAGCGTCTTTTCCTTGTGCACAGTAGAGCTCGTATCATTGTCGTCAACATATAGACTGAGCATGCTGCCGATCCGCTCAATGATGCACTGCTCCTTCTCCACGCGCTCCTGCGCGGCACACAGCTCACAGGCAATGTAATTAGCTACAATATAGCACCAACGGTCACAGGAAGGATGCCAACTGCTGTTGCCCAGCATACGCCGGCCCTGTAGGGTGTAGATAAGGTCGGTGAGACCGATTATACTGCGCGCCAGTTTGCGGCATATCAACGGTGAGTTTTGTGCACAATCCAGCTCCTCTCGTATGGCACTGTTAGGTGGGGTTGGGCAAAGAGATTAATTGAGAGAATGTGAATCAGTCAGGGCCATGTACTTACCACTCAAATTGTCGGAGCAGTCGATTCATAACATTGTTGAAGCTGTCATCGTGAGTGGCGGCAATCGCTCTATAAATACACCGACGCGTCTCAGTCAGGTGCACAAATTCCGGCATCACGGTCGACGGTGTCGCGCCGCCGCCGGGATTGGCTGCGACAGAGACGTTTTCATCAACATTCATGCAATTGTTTCGTGTGTTGCTCATCATTCTGCAATGCAAGAGAAGGTTGCAAATCAACAAAATTTTGACTTTTTTGAAGAGAAAGTCCCGTTAGCATTGGCTGGCCCTACATGCATATGTATATACCTGCACATAGACACACACACACACACCTACCGCAAAAATGTTAACTGTAATGAAGCAGCGGCGCGCTCGCAGTACACGCTACACTACAAATGTCGCTGGTGCACACAGTCCAGATACGAATTCACAATGAATTTGTTGTATTTTGCACATTTTTTACATTACTTTCTGTTTGTGAATTGGCACTTGTTTGTTTTTGACCATTTCAGTTTTAGAATGTTGACTGCTAAAATACACACTAAAATGCATTTAATCGGTCACACTTGGCCTTAAATTCGTGTAAAGTGTGGCCGCAGTACGAACATATAAAAATACCAAATACGCCACATAGTTCTGATGTTACAGTGTTGGAAAGTGCAAACACAAAACCGCGAAATACAAATATAAAGGCGGGTATTCCAATTGACTAAAAAT